ACATGTTTATTTAATATAATGCTTATTTACTTATCTCTTATTAAATATTTATTTTTAAATGAAATTATTGAGATGTAATACTAAGTTTGAAATGAAATAGTGAATAAAAAAATACTATTATATTAAATAATTTGAACTATGCTCTTATTTTAAAGATTAGTTGTACGATCTATATTAAATGTCAACTGAGAGGCATTTTCATTAATAAAATTCTCATCTTACTGTAGGAAATCAGCATTTTAAATTAAAAATTTTTATTTAAATGGTATTACTTAACTTATGTTTACATAAGATATATTAAATTTAAGACAGAGACAAAATTTACTAAAAATATTATAGAAATATGTGAAATTAAAATTTTTGAAATAAATTTCATTGCACTTGGATATTTTTATATCTCTATTACTCAGGATTGCGGAGAAAAATGACTTTATGACGAACACTTCCAAGCTACTGGAAAGCCTCCTTTCTGCAGAAAACTATGACAAACAGATAAGACCAGGCTTTGGAGGTAAATACATGTTTTTTATTACACTTTTATCATACTTTTTAAAATTCTTTTTCAAACTATCATAAAATGTCTTTCATAATGTTTTTTTTTTTTTTGATAGTGCCTGTTATTTTCATAAGATTTCCTACAATGTTTATTTATAAACATCATAATATCTATGACGTCTCAGCTAACATGTACTAATTAAATAAAACTCAAATATTAAGTTTTCAACTATTTTTCAGAGTAAATTTAAATAACATATAAAAATGCAGAGTATAATATTTCATTGCAAGTTAATCAAATGAACATGTTAATCTGATGAACCGTTTAGATTAAGTTAGATGACAGTCAGATAAACGTTTTGATTAGTTAGTAGGAACATTTTATTGAATCTATATGTTTACAATCAATCATACAACAATCAATCATAAAAAATAATTTTTAAATTAAATCACAATATTAAAGTTATAGATTATTGACGCAGCTTCAAAAGTTGAAAGGTTCAAAAATTTCAAGAACAATAAATTTTAGTTAAACCGAATTAATAAAAATCTCTAGTATATTCAGATAAATATTTGATTAATTTGGAGGAGCAGTTTATTGAAACTATTTTTTTGACAATCAATCATAAAACAATAAATTTTTAAATTAAATCACAATAATCAATGTGAAGGGATCATCACAATATTTGTTGTTCCATTTGCTTACAGGGCTTTCTCCAACTGAAGCACCCTCTTGGTCAAGTCATGTCAAAGATACAGCCCGCGATCGCAANGACAAATAATCTATCTTTAAAAGTATTACAAAAAAAAACTTATAATAAATTTCAATTTATTACAGCACGCTACATTTATAAGTAATTTCAAGGGCAGCGAGTGATAAACAAGCCAGAGAGAGAGCAACAAGCAACAAGCGGAATCTTCCACGCGCTTTGAGTCTAGGCTAGAACCTTTCTTATCGATATGAAAGGAGTGCGTCGGCGCGACTTGAGTCAGGGAAGTTGCATATTTTTTCATAGAATGGAAAGGTAAACCACTGTGTTTGATTTGCAATCAAACAGTTGCTCCTTGTAAGGAGTTTAATTTGAAGAGACACTATGATACGAATCATAAATCAAAATTCAATTGTTACACTGAAAAAATAAGAATGGACACATTGTCATTTTTAAAATCTAAACTTCAAGGTCAACAATCGATGTTTACTAAAGCTAATACCGAGAGCAAAGATGTCCTGAAATCAAGTTTTATTGCATTAGATCAAAAACTTTCATTGATGGTGATTTTATTAAAGACTGTATGTTGAAAGTTGCCAATGTTTCCTTTCCATTTCAAAACTCTATAATACACAATATTTCGCTGTCAAGAGACACTGTTGCTTCAAGAATAAATGATTTATCTTAAAATTTGGTTCTTCAACTGAAGGTGAAAATTAAAGAATTTACAAACTTTTCACTGGCTGTAGGCGAGAGCCCTGATACTGTTGATACAGCTCAACTTGCTGTTTTTATACCAGGTATTAACAGTTATTGAAATAATATTATTGAAGTAACTTTGAAATAACTGAAGAACTATTAAAGTGCGTTCCATTGATAGGTACTACAACAGCAAATGATATTTATTCTGCAATTGAGCATTTGATAGCAGAATATGAACTCGACTGGAATATACTTAGCAGCACAACTACGGATGGCGCTCCTGCTATGGCTGGCAAACATTCGGGCGTTGCAACTAAATTTAAACAGAAAACATCAGGAAATTTTGTGGGATTTCACTGTATAATTCATCAGGAATCATTGGCATTAAAACATTTAAAAATGAACCATGTCATGCAACCTATAATCAAAATAGAAAATTTTACAGGGAGCAGAGGACTAAAATCGCCGAAAGTTCAGGCAGTTTTTTCAAGATTTGGACGAAAATTTTTCTGATGTCCCTTATTTCACCGAAGTTCGTTGGCTCAGTCGAGGAGTAGTTTCAGAAAGATTTTTTGCATTACGTGACCCTATTCAAGCTTTCATGTTAGAAAAAGGCAACCCAATTGATTATGACAATGACTGGTGGATTGATTGTGCTTTTTTGGTAGATATGAATAAACATTTGACTGATCTGAATGCAAAGGTACAGGGTAAAAATCTGATTGTCACTCAAATGCATTCATGTATTCAAGCCTTTGAAACAAAGTTGGGGCTGAGGGAAAATCAGGTAAAAAATCAAACTTTGGATCATTTCCCTCATTTAAAATCAATTGGCTCAGTGAACCAAAAAAAATTGGATCAATATTCTCAGCTTCTGCAAAATCTGATCACGGAATTCAACAATCGTTTTGAAGACTTCTAAAAAGTGAATGAAATGGAATTCCCAATTTTCTACAGTCCATTCAATTTTGAAGCTTCACAGGCACCAGTTTATTGGCAAATGGAGTTGATAAATCTACATCGGACAGTATTTTGAAAGAAAAATTTAAAGAGGTTAAACGCTCTTACATTTTATACACAATATTTCAAGAGTTTGGATAACTACCTGGAGTTAAAGCAGCATGCAGCACGCATTCTGTGCATGTTTGGTAGCACCTATTTATGCGAGCAGATGTTTTCCGTCATGAAAATAAATAAGAACAAACATCGCACAAGACTTACGAATGAACATCTCCAATCAATTCTTAAAATAATTACAGCAAATATGAAACCGGACATCAATGAGCTTGTCAAAAACAAGAGAAGTCAGGTATCTGGATCCACGAGCTCAAAATAATTGCCCTCTTTTATAACTTTGATATGATTTTTAACAACCGTATATTATATACTATATAATTAAATAAATAAAATGTTATAATAATTCAGTAAAATTTTTTTATTTGAATCTGGCCCGCCTACAGATTCTAAATTTAATATATGGCCCTCTGCAAAATTCAGTTTGACACCTCTGCTCTTGGTTGTCTTTGTCCTTTGCAAAATCCCTAAGGTTCAGCGCCTTGCGTGTTGACTTATGAGATTCTCGCAACCTCTAACGAAGGGACGCCACCTTCTGGAGATAGATCAGTATTCCCCGTACAACTCTCAGCGAAGGTTGCCTTCCTTTACTGCATTTTTTTCCTTTACTGCATTCCCTGTGTGCTCCCAGCTTGCAGATCTCGTATTCATCCATTTTATTTTCATAATTTGGCAAGTACTTTTTAATTATCATTTATCATAAATTTTCCACATTTTTTAACAACTTTAACGCTCAAATTATTTTTACTTAATATAGTTCTATGAATCTTTCTAAGCTTATTTATTATGTCCTAATAAGAGTTTAGAACTTAAAATTTAAGCATATTTTGAATTAATTTCAAAATTACAGCCCGTCCTCATTCTCATTTAAGGACACTGGGCATTCCAGTGAGAAAATTATCTCTTTTGGACTAACATGCGAATATTGCGATTAGTTCTTACTAATTTTTTGGTATAGAATAGATATAAATTGTATCATTCCTTAAAAATGAAAATAATTTTAGACTTCTGATAATATTTGTGAACACTATTATTAGTTTAATTGTATTTAATTTTTGAATTACAAAAAAGGATCAATATGGAAATAACCTATGTAAGTAAATGAATAATACCATGTAATTTCATTTTATGTATATATATTTAGTTAAGCGCATTTAAAATACCCAAGTATATAAAATAATTAAAAATATATAAAATATTCTGTACATGAAAGCATTTAAAATATACATTGAATTACATACTATATAGTTGCTCAATTTACTATGAAACTTTGGAAAACAAAGTATGCTTAAAGTTACGTGGCATTTTTTATTCTCTGTTTTGATGTACAATTTTCTCTCTGAAAACGTCTTTGCTTATCCCTTTTTGCTTTTGTAAGTCCAATAGGATCGTACTTCACTTCAGCAGAAGAGGCTGATTTTATCATTTGCCATCTACTCGATCTACCTGGCTTTTTTTCAAATATGCTACGGCAATCTCACGTCGTAAATAATTTACTAAAATCTGCTTCTTACTATCTTTTTTATGAAGAGTTTTATACAAAATGTAAGCATTCATTACTGACCTGCCTATCATTCTTGTAATTAAACACCAATGCCATTTTAGCCCCTTATTGATATAGTGTGCTTTTCTAACCCTTAGGAAAATTTGCCATAGAGAAGCCTATGGTAATCTATGGCAACAAATGGGTACCATAGAAATTTGTATGGCAAGATACCATACGCCTATGGTTACCATAGAGATTTGTATGGCACAACCCCATAAGCCTATGGCTACCATAGAAATTTGTATGGCAAGATACCATACGCCTATGGTTACCATAGAAATTTGTATGGCAGAACCCCATAAGCCAATGGCTACCATAGAAATTTGTATGGCAAGGTACCATAGGCCAATGGTAACCATAGAGTCTTGTATGACATTTATATGGCACGTCACCATTCTCCTATGGCAACCATAAAAATTTGTACCGCAGTATACCATAGGCCAATGGTAACCATAAGGATTTGTATGGCACGCTACCATTGGCCTATCGCAACCATAGAAATTTGTATGGCAGTATACCATAGGCCAATGGTAACCATAAAGATTTGTATGACAGATTATCATAGGGAAAATCTGATCTAGATCCCCACCAACGAAACAACATCTCCTATGGAGTCCTCAAAAATATCTTCTAAAAGAAAGAAATATCCATTTTTTCATCCCGAAGTTAATTAAATTCAACATGCTATCCCTCAAGGCATTCCTGGTGAGTCCTTACCGGCCTCCGGGTGGCCAATTTTTCCATTTTTGAGTGTTTGAAATCCGATGTTCCATTGATTTAGGCTTAGAGTATCAGACCGCCATATTAACGTGTCATCCACTACTGATGGAATCTTTCGCTAACTTTGGCTACCTATTTTAATATTTTTTCGATCTCATTCTTGGTCTAAAACATTTTATTGCAAACGCATATGCGATTATCTATCTGAATTTATTAAGTTTTTATTTTCCGGCTGTCTGGTACTTTTATTATCGGTATCTTTTC